GGGGGTGGGGGGGGAGTCGGAAGCGGGGTCGCTCAGATGTCCTTCCCGCAGTCGGGGCACAGGATGTCGTCCCTCTCCGTGAGGAAGCCTCGGCCCACCAGTGACAGCGAGCACTTCTTGCAGTTGAAGCAGTCGTTGTGCCACTGCCGTTCCTCGAAGGAGATGTACTTGGTACCACCCAGGCCTGCGGAGGCAGGAGGAAGACCGGGTGAAGATGGGGAGGGAGCCGCGCGGCCTGGCTCCCGCACTGTGGACAGTGTGAGCTGCTTACAACCTCGAGAGGCTGGGATCCGCGTTTAAACCAGATTCCATGCTCAGGCTGGGGAGCTCCTGAGCCTCAGAAAAATATGACGGGCTCCAACACTACGTGATCATCACTCATCATGAGACTCCTGCTGTGTGTGTGTATTCCTCCTACTGTGCGTCTGGGAACTGATTTCTGTTACTCCTTCATTGCGCACCTCAAGTCTGGTGGGCAAAACTTTCTCGATGCAAAGAATGAGGGAGAACAGAGGTGGAACATGGCCTCACGGAGGAGACGCTGCGTGGGCCGGGATGGAGGGATGGACTCTCCTGCACAGGGTGGTGGAAGCCGAGAGTGGATTAGGAGGACGTGTGCAGAGAAAACTATCCTTTACTGAGACAATAGGACCTCGTTTCAGCTAACACCGGACACCCGCAGGGAGGGGCGGGGTGATGCAGGCCCGGATAGGACACTCACCACTGATGGGGTTGGCGCAGCCGGCGCACTTCTTGGCGTACAGGTCGCAGAAGCAGCCCAGGCAGTAGGCGAACTCGTCGCGGGACGTGAAGCGCTGGCCCGACAGGGGCTTCTTGCAGGCGGTGCACACGAAGCACTCGCGATGCCAGGGCTGCTCCCGGTACGTGACGCCCCCGGTGGTGATGGGCTGCAGGCAGAGGGACCTCAGCTCCCACGGCGCCCACACCTCTGGAGGACGCGCGGCCCTTGCCCCAGACACGCTCTCCAGATGGAAGGGCACCCCCGCCACCCCCGTCCCAAGCTGCCGGGCCTCCACCGCAGACCTGGCTCCCCGTCTGTGACCGGGGTACCAGGGTATCTGCCCGGGGAAAGCACCGCCTCCTGGCTGGCAGGAGGGCAAAGCCGGAGACTGCGGCTCTGTCGAGGATGGGGTGTCACCCGCCACCCTCGGTAGCCCCGCCCCTTGGTAACCACGCCCCTCAGCAGCCCCACCTGCGGGCAGGTCCCTGTGAGCATCTCTCTACCTCCAGGGGCACCTCCTCCAACAGTCTATTCAGCTACTCGGGCGTTAGAAGGAAGAGCCTTAACAGACACCTGGGGTTGGCACCACTGTGGAACCGGCTTGGAACCGGCTTCTTGGAAGGTATGGAAAAGAAGCCCAGGGCCTGCCTCCCTACCGTGTCTAGTGGTGTTAGGACACAGCCCTGGACAGTATGATAAGGGGTCTGCTTCCACCCACCCCACCCACACCCCCGGGAGACCTTTCCAGTTTCCTGTCTCCTCCCTGGCCCGGTCCAGGGCTGGTTTCTTATTTATTCAAGGAGAGCGGTGAGCAGAGAGACCTTGGGGATGGGCGGACGCTGTTGAGGAAAGGACACCGGACAGACACAGGCCGGGTGAGTGAGAGGTACCTTCTTGCACTGCACGCACTGCAGGGCATACTGCCTCTCATAGCAGGGCACGCAGAAGTTCTCGCTGTCCTTCGGGATGAAGCTCTTGGTTCCGATGGGCTGCTGGCAGCGGTGGCAGATGAAGCAGGTCTCGTGCCAGCTGCTGCCCTTGTACTCCATCTTGCGGGTGCCTGTCGGGGGTCAGGGAGACAGGAGCTGAGTTGTTACCAACCACCTGGGAGACCCAGCGACCGGTGCTGAGAACCTGCCGCCCTCCCGTCCTGGGACTCGCGTAGAGTCACTTCAGCTCGGAAGGCTTGCCTCTCAACCGGCAGCTTTCCTATTTAGTCAGTTCACAGCCACACACCTGGCTTCTGGAACAGAATCTGTACATAGTCAATACTTTACGTGTTGAACAGGGCGATTATGAACATTAAGTGGAAAAAATACTTTCCTTTCAGCTTGTGAAATACTAACAGACACCTGGCACAGCTCAGATTCATCCTTGGGGAATATGAATCTGGAGCACAGGGACCAGAGGATGAACACCCGTCTGGTTCCCAGTGGGGTGGAAACAGGCGGGTGTCAGTAAACCTGTAGTCTAACGCCTGCTTCAGGGAGGAGCCTTAGTATCTCTCACATGCATGATGCAGCCGGCTGTGTAGACTGAGCTGTGATGAATCTTAGTGGTTAAAACTCACCTGCCTCACTTGTACTTCCATTTAACAATTTTCTGATCTTACCTCATGATATTCCATTTCCTTCCGAAAAAAGTGCTATCAGCTGAGAGGTTTACATCATTCCTCAAGCAGACCAGAAATCCTTGAGAAAACGCTGTTGATTCACCCCTCCCCAACCACCAGGTTTGATTCACAGCAAGGAGAGCTGTATTTGTTTGGATTTCTTCCCCATATTTGCCAAAAAAAAAAAAGAGCATGTATCTGTTTATAGAAAGAGATGGTTTAAGTAAGGGAAACGTGTATGCGATCTCCCTTTGTGAAGTACTACAGAATTTGCAGGCTTCCCAGGTGGCGCTAGTGGTAAAGAACTGCTTCCCAGTGCAGGAGACACTGGGGTTTGATCCTTGGGTCAGGAAGATCCCCTAGAGTAGGAAATGGCAACCCACTCTAGTATTGTTGCCTGGAGAATCCCCAGGGACAGAGGAGCCTGATGGGCTACAGTCCATGGGGTCACAAAGAGTCGGATGTGACTGAAGCGACTTAGCAAGCACTTAGCATGCACGCAAGGAAGGACTTAGGGAGAAGGAGCTTCTTGGGTGAAGAAACAGAAGCATTCCTGATACTTGAGCAGCTCAGGGGCAGACCGGACTCTGCAGGTCATCACCAAGGTCTTCCCAGACATAGCCGCAACCCACCTGCTGGCTCATCCTCAACCATGGATGTTGTTTTGTGGTTCTTTCCACTCTGGCCACCCCCTGAGCTCACCTGAAGGACGGAGCCTACAGACGAATATGTGAGTCAGACTGAACTCAGATCAGGGAGCAAGGAGGGAGGCGGCTCTGGAGGTAGGGTGAGGGGGCTTCGTGTTGGGACGCAGGCATTGGGTAACTAGTTTTTAGCACTAAGATTGAAATAATATTTGAAATGACAGTCAGTGGGCCAAATTGTAGCTGGCTGGAAAGGAGCTGAGCATCGCTCCAGAATCATGGCCTGCTTGTTTTAGCAGGCGTCATTTTTTCAGGATCATTTTCTCAGCTTCCTGGCCTTTTAGACCCCCAGGCACCACCTTCCAGAAAGAGTACAAAACACTCAGGCTGTGTGTGCAGGAGGTAGGGGGCACATGGTAATCTTCAAAACTATGTGATTAAATTGTGAGGCAATGAATCCTGAAAATGGGAAAAATTACATCAAGCAATTAAATTTCAGGTAAAAGTGGCGGAGGGACTTTGCTGTAAATTCTAGAACCAAAATCTCCTTTGGTCTCTGGGATTTTAATTTCCCATGTACACCTCTGACACTGGTGCTTTTAACATCTGACCTTCCGTCTGGTCAGACACCAAAGAATTTGTCCATAAATATCCAATGATTGTGAGTCTCACTAAAGCCCTCAAACCAGACCACACATGCCTTCCGCGTGTTCAGAATGAGCCTTCTGTCCACCCTGGAGCTCGGGGAGATGTCCAGTCCCAGGTCCCAGGTCCCAGGTCCCAGGTCCCAGGTTGGGCAGCCCCAGACCTGGTGCAGACCTTGTGGTCCTTGTGCAGGGTCACCAGCAGGGGGCGGCAAAGCTCCTCCTTCTAAGGACCTGCCGCAGAGGAGGAGCCAGCGGACCAAGTCCCCCTCCTGGAGGAAGGGGTGTCTTTCTGATTCAAAGGAGCAAGTGAGGAATCTGAAAACCTGTGAAGGCCTGGCAACACCATGAGGCTGCCTGGAGGCCGTGGTGCACCTTCGAGCCAGGGCTCAGCATCCCTGCGTGGGCTTGGGAGCTCGTACCTGGGCTTGGTGACTCACAGCTGTGGGTGTCCTCTTTATCCAAGTTCACTGCAGAAGCCACACTGTCAGTCTGCATTCCTCTCATCTTGATTTAGTTATAGCACTTTTGAAAATCAAACCAAGGAAGGAAGCTAGCTAGCACTCTGATCTAGTTTTGTGGGATTTTTTCTGTTTTTGTTTTTTTTTTTAAGTGTCTAGTACTTGTTTTATTTTTGCAGGCCTTTTTTTTTTTTTTTTGCACTGCCTCTGGTGCGTGGTCCATTTCCTCTGCCAGATCTGCCCTCCTCTGACTTCTCCATCTGCTGAAATCAGGTCGACCTTGAGACTGCTCAAAGGTCACGTCCCCAAGGGCCCCTTTCCTGGCTGCCCTGCTCTGGCCTAGTGCCTCCATCACAGGAGATACCACCCAGGCTTCTCCTAAAAACCCCAACAGCAGAGATGGTGAGATGCATGTCCCTGGGGAGAAAGCAGGGTGGGAGGGGGAAGCAGTCCTCAGAGACCAGCCTGCCAGAATCAAGAATTGTCTTGGTGGCCTCAGGAATTTTAGGAAAAATTCACCTCTTACTCTAAGGTATATTTGTCTTTGTCAAAATGGCAGTGAACATTTTTCTTCCCAATCTGAACCGCTGCCCTGGGAAGCTGTGTCTTTCCCCACATGCATGGCCCTGGCTTGGGTCCCAGCAGCTGGGCATCCCCTGGGTCAGTCTCCTTGCAGAGTCAGGAGTCTGACTCTAAATGATCCCGGCAGCCTAAGTTCTCTGCATGTGTTGGCGCAACCCCGGCCACTGTGTGGACTAGCATGACTCTGCAGGACGCCTAAGTTTCTACAAGCTGACATTCATTCTACTGAAGTTGAAAATTCAAAATCCTCCCTTGAACTTCATCCTGCACATCTTATCAGTGTGTTCATGGATACAGCACATTTAAAAAATCACTTTTAAGGGGCATGACTTTATGTTTGGTTCCATTCACCAATGTGGTGAAGTCCTTTAAAAGGACACTTAGAATTTAATGATCCCGATGCTGGAAAAGATTGCAGGCAAGCGGAGAAGGGGGCAACAGAGGATGAGATGCTTGGATGGCATCACCAAGTTAATGGACATGAGTCTGAGCAAACTCCAGGAGATGGTAAAGGACAGAGAAGCCTGGCATGCTGCAGTCCATGGGGTTGCAAAGAGTCAGACAGGACTTAGCGACTGAACAACAAAATTTAGTGTATTTGATATCCGTTCTAAGTTCGATGCCAAGGAGGACTTTGGCAAACTGGACCTCAAGTTCTTGAGTAATTGTTGATGAAGTGAGCTAAATATATAAATACAGTGGACAGATAATGATGGACAAACATTGACCATTATTCACAGCCTCAAAAACTAAGGTATCTTAAATGTCAAAAACATTTACTGATTAAGAAAATCCCCATATAAAACCACAAACCTAAATCACTTAATTGCACACTTTTAGTTAGAATAAAAAAAATTAATTTACTCTTGGAGACCAATTTTTTTCCCTAAACTTCATTCATGCTTTATCAGATTATTTAACACAATATTATTGCTGTGGGTTGGATTCCCTTGATAAGTGAGTGTGCCCTTAATTCTAAAGCTTCCCAGAACTGAAGGAAGCACATCCTCTAAGACACTGTCCTGAGGACAGACACTTTCTTGAGCAATTTGAGGGCTCCCCAGGCAGCAGCATCCAGCTTCCCAAGAGCTGGGGACCCTAGACCTATGCCCTGCTCCCACCACCCTGAGCCTGGTTTGGGGGCCACACCCCAGAAGACAGTCAAAGGACAGAGCCCTCTCTTGATTTTATGCGGCTCTCTGGCAGAGATGCCAGATTAATGAAGTCTCAGGTGGGATCGGCTGAAATTCCAATTTACCTGGGAGTCCTGTATTTTATTCACTATGTCTGGTGAGGTTACTGTCCAGTCGCCCCTTATTGGTCATACAGAGGACGTCACTGGACCCTACGTGGCCGATGAACTATCCAGGGTCCAGATCTTAGGTTCTTCTTGCCCTCGCTTTGCGTGTCTAACAAGATTCATTTTTTGAATACTGTGTTGAAAAATTTCATATAGCATTTTTATCCATTCTATTCTTTAGAAGAAGATTCCTGTCTCCCATAAAGCAAAGATTCCCCACCCCCCACCAGAAGCAAGGGACACAGTCCCATCTTCCCCCATCAACAGACAGGTCATCCATCACCGGCCACTAGACCCAGCTGCGGTCAAGTCTGCCAGGATGTCACCCACATGGGGCGCAGCACCCAGCTCCCAGCTCCAGGTCCAGCACGAGTGTGCGGGGGTGGAGGGGGGCGTGGGCAGGGATTGGGGGGTTAGGGCTTGGGGACTTGGCGCCCACCTGGCATGATGCTCTTCTTGCACTCCTGGCATCGCGACGAGTACTCCTGAGAGTAGCACTCAGCACAGAGCAGCTGGTCCTCCTTGGCAGCGAACGGCTTGTCCACCAGGGAGCCCCGGCACCGCGAGCAGTGGAAACAGGCCTCGTGCCAGTGCCGGTCCTTGTAAGACAAGTCCTGCAGACCCGGAGCCGAGAGACGGAGACGTGAGAGGGGCCGGGGGCAGGGAAACGGAACTCGAGGGGTGAAACGGGTCAGGGTGGGGTACGTCTGTAGCTCCTCTCCAAGCCACTGTTTAGAAGCTTCTGAAAAACAGGTAACTTTCCCTGGGAACGGTCTGTAAGAAACAGAAGCTGCACAGGAAACTCATCAGTGCTTCTCCTGGACACACAGACCTTGGGGGCCCACTGGCCACAGCACGCGAGGCAAACCCAACCAGGCCCGAGGGGGTGGTTGTGATTCCCTGGGGAGGGAGGCTGGGCTGCGGGAACCTCAGAGACAGAGCCTGGGGTGGGGGTCCTGGGTCAATCTGGAGAAGGCGGGTAGAATACGTCCAGGAGGTGCCACCAGCTGAACATTAAAGACCAGAGGATGCGTGAGCTGGGCAGAGAAATGGCACAGACCAGGAGGGCCAGGCCGAGGGGCGCCGGCTGGGAGGGTTCCCACCGGGCTGGACCAGGAGGCCAGATGAATGTACCCAGGTGAGTGCAGTTCAGCTCTGTCTTTGAGAATTTGAATAAAGTCAACAAACCATCTAAAGTTCTGTCCACTGAGGACAGTGATCAGCCTAATTAAAGACGAGTTGGGGTTTGGATCACGTGGTCACTGTTGTAATGCTGATAATGGAATAAATGCATTTAACAATTTTTTTTTTTGGTATGGAGAACAGTCTGACAGGCAGTTCCTCAAAAAATTAAACAGAAAATTACCCCATGACCCAGCAATTCTACTTCTGGGTACATGTCCCAAAGAATTGAAAGCAGGAATCTGTAGACCCAGACTCACAGAAGCCAAAAGGTGGAAGCCACTGAAGTGTCCATCGCAGAGTGGACAGATAGTGATGGACAAACATGGACCCTTATTCACAGCCTCAAAAACGAAAGAAATTCTGACACACACTGCATGCGTGTGTGCTAAGCTGACTCTGCACCACCGTGGACTGTAGCCCACCAGGCTCCTCTGTCCATGGGATTTCCCAGGCAAGAATACTGAAGTGAGTTGCCATTCCCTTTTCCAGGGGATCTTCCTGACCCCAGGGATCAAACCTGGGTCTCCTGCATTGCAGGCAGATTCTCTACCAACTGAGCCACCAAGAAAGCCCTCGTGACACTAGAAAGTTCCCTCTAAATCTGATACTACGCCCTGTCCTGACTAGATCCTCCAGAAGGAGGTCCAGCTCCTGGCCTCCACCCTCGTGAGGCTGTTGGTCATTTGGTTGCTCGCTGTCCTGAGTGCCACATCCTGCATTCAAGGGAGGGACTGCTCACACCCTGGCTACGGCATGGCCCTCCAGGCTGGTGACAGCAGCTGCCTGGAACCCTCCCCCCTCTTCCCACACCCACCCTGGGGGGCTGGTCACCATCCTGCCGAGATTCCTGCTGAGCTGAGTCACCGGCCGTCCCTTCCCTGGGGCATCCTCTCCCCTCTGCGCAGCTGCTCCCTCTGTCTGCCCTCTCTTGCACACGCACACACACGCACACACGCAAACGCACACACATACACACACACGTGTTTCTGCATTAACACACAGCAGCCCTGAACTGTTCATTCAAAGACATTTGATAATTATTAAACCTTCTGACAAAAATGTTTTTCGTGAAGATAAATACCAATCTACGCCCACACTCTCAGAGACCATGGTGAGTCACAACTCTCTCTGAACAAGCTGGCATCACCATCAGTGGGGCGGGGAGGGGGGTGGACTGAGGTGGGACAACAGCTCACCCACCCCTGTTCCAGTTGCCGTCAGCGGCGACCGCCCCAGGCCGAGGACACCTGACGTGCAGGCAGGTGGGAAACGTGGAGTCACCGCCTTGCACACCTGCCCTGCCACTAGCATCCTTGGGGACCCTGGGAGCACATGTCTAAAAGGCCTGATGTATTCACCCGAGCGATTAAACTTGAAGGCTCCAGACTCAGGTCCTGGCTCTGCCACAAACCTGCTGCATGGCGGGGGGTAAGGGGGTGCTGGGTGGAGGGGGGTCAGTCACCTGACCCCTTCCAGCCTCAGACGCCACCCGTGAAGCAGAGATGATGGTGAAGAGTTGACCACAGTCCTGGCACATCGTAACTGCTCGGCTAACGGTCTTCGATCCCAGCTCATGGTGACAGCAGGTGCCCTGAAGCGTCACCTGCTGGGGTCGCCTTTACTCATGAGACTCGGATAGAGTCCACGCCCTCCTCTAAGAGCGCCAGGTCCCTGGGCTCAGTCAGTACTCTGTACAGCGCTTGCAGCCTCTGCGGCCCTGCTAACTCTAAAATTCCCTTAGTCCCCTCTTGTTTTGAGCCACACAGTGACCCCATGGAATAAGGTTTTATTCCTACTTTATGGGTGAGCAAGTTTAACAGAATGATGCTAAGATGCTGTGAACCCGGTCCCCTGCATCCCTCTTCCTGGTCTGCATCCGGCAGGGCACAGACCTTTACCGGGCCTGGCAGCATCTTTACAAGCAGGCCCCAGCGTGCTCGCCCAGACTCACCTTCTGCCCCAGCCTCCTCTCTGCGGCGCTCCCCTCTCCCCTGCCCATACCCTGGCTTGCACTGTCCTGGCCTCCGAAGGCCCTCGCCCTCATCCCCCTCGGCTATGAGGCCCGGCTAGACACCAGTTGCTCCATGATGCCTGTGTGGCCAGGAGTGATGCTGGCCCTGCGAGAGGGCATACCATCCCCACGGGCGTGCCTGGAACAGCCCGCATTCTGCAGCTTGCTCAGGGCGCTTGTGGGAAGCCCCACCTGAGGCTGTGCCTGCAGCTCCCCTGGGAATCCTCCTCCGCTCCTGCCTTCCGCACATGTCAGTCTGAGTCAAGTTGACACTTCGTGTCCCCACCTCCTCTGGACTCCCTTCTGTGGGAAAGCCCACTCTGCACCTGCGCCAAGGTGGGAAAAGGCCGCTGGCTTTGCTGGCTCGGGGCTCGTGGGACTGGACTAGAAATCGGCACTGGAAGGTCAAGGCATCTGGTCTGGTTAGGTGCTCCGACCTGGTGCCTGAATCAGGCTGACGCCTGCTCTAAACGTGTGTCTGTAAACTGGGTTCTGAGTAACTCTTCTCACCGCTGGCATTCGCTGCTCCAAACGGAGTATCAGTCTTGTAGTACCGCTGAATTCTGTTGTGTGTCAAGCCTATCGGGCGGTCCCCAGAGACACCACTGAGATGCCAGAGGTTCAAGGCTGAGAAGTAGGGGCTCGCTGACTAACTTTCAAGAACTTTGAAACATCCTAGAAAATGCCCCTGTTTTAAGGTTTTCTAGAGAGCGCGCATGAAGGGGCAAAAAAGAAAGGAAGAAAAAAAAAATCTTCAGCACATCCCAGAAAAACTAGCAAGGCTAATCGTGTGCACATAGAATGTCATAAATTGCTGTAAAATGTTTGATAAACAATGTAAGATTAGGTGCAAACACTTCCTTTTCAGTTTTCCATGTTTCCATTTCAGAGACACTCCTAACGTGGGAAGGGCTTGTGGCTTTGCTCTGCCCTTGTTGAGGCCTCGGCTGAGCTGTGGGTGGAGTCAGTGGCCTGGAGGGACCCCGAAGCCCCCCAGTTAACGGGGGCAGCCCAGAGCAGCAGGGTCACTTGCTGTCCTCTGCCCCCCCGTCTGTCTCTCCCGGGCTGGGACAGGCTCAGCTGCTGATTCCCAAGCCAACCAGTCCTCAGACCTGCAGGACCCTGTCGTATCGGTAGGCATACCACCTCATTCGTGCTCAGCACTTTGCAAAGATGTTCCATGCTTTGTGTTAGTCAGGCCACCATGTTCCCATCCGTCTGGTCGTTCAAATCCTTGAACAAAGACTCTGGCAGAAACCCTGGCACTTACCCTGTTGCCAGGCTCGGGGTTCACTTCCTGAAAGGCAGGCACGTTTCTCCTGCCATCACTTTCTCCACAAAGCCAACTTCATAATTATTTCCAAAAGCCAAGAAAACTGTTCCAAATATTCCAAACCCCACATGCCAAGGTCTAACTGCAAGTTCACCTCTTTGTTTCCTTCCCAAATGCACAGAATCACATGCTGAGACTCCACAGTGGACCGTTACCCAGGTTGAAAAGTTCAGCGTGATTGACTGAACAGCAGTCTTGACTCTGCAGCAGTCTTGTTGATTTTGGCCGCTTTGGGGGGATTCTTGTTTATTTACTCCTAAAGCATGTGCAGAAGGATAAGAAGTTTCAAGGGCCTGCCCACAAAATCACACTGAAGAAATGATCAGTGACCTTAGTTTTGTTTTCACGTTAGCTCCCAGCCAAGGATGACTAGCCCCAAATCTCCAAAACATCTCCTTCAAACCAAAGTTGATAAATCAGAAAAAGACAAATATCATATATGAATGCATATATGTGGACTCTAGAAAGGTGGTACTGGTGGACCTATTTGCAGGGCAGGGGTGAAGACGCAGATGTAGAAAGCAGATCTGTGGCCAGGGAGTGGGGAAAAGGAGGGTGGGATGCACTGGGAGATTGGGGTTGACACGGATACACGACCATGTGTAAAACAGAGAGCTAGCGGGAAGATGCTCTATGGCACAGGGAGCTCGGCGCAGTGCTCTGGGATGACCTAGAGGAGCAGGATGTGGAGGTGGGAGGGAGGCTGAAGAGCCAGGGGACAGATGTATACATTTAGCTGACTCACTTCCTCGTACCCAAAAACCAACACAACACTATAAAGCAATTATGCTCCAAAAGACCCCCCAAACCCCAGAGCTGTTCTCTGTCAGAATGGTATCTGAAATGCTCACCGACTTACATCTTTTCCAGGGAGAGCCTTTAGAAAATAATAAGTTTTTCTCTGCCTATTAGTTCTCCCTCAAAGCAGACGTTCTTATTGATGTTTTTCCAGTGAAAACTGATAGGGTGAAGCTTCAGGAGGCCTGGGGAGGGGCTGAGCTGCAGAAAGAACAGGGGCGCAGTCGGCAGAGAAGAGGGGACAGGCGTTCATCCTGCCAGCACCTGCTCCTGGGCTTCCCAGGTCACCCGAGTGGTAAAGAACCCAGCTGCCTATGCAGGAGACATAAGAGACTTGGGTTTGAGCCCTGGGTGGGAAAGATCCCCTGGAGAAGGAAATGGCAACGCACTCCAGTATTCTTGCCTGGGAAATCGCATGGACAGAGGGGCCTGGCAGGCTACCGTCCATGGAGACGCAAAGAGCCGGACACGTCTGAACACACACGCGCAGCTGCTCTTTAGAACTCTGGCTGCTTCGTCGCTGCACATGTGAGAACCCACGGCCCAGGCTCCCTCGTCGTCGCTCCACTTTGTAAACATGTAGACGGGCACTGAGGGAGTCGAGACGTGGGCCTGAGATCACACAGCCTGTGAGACACAGGGCCAGGCTGGAACGGGGCATCTCGGGGTCCGAGCTCTCCTGCCTGGCCTGGAGACGAATGCCGAGGGACTCAGACACACATCCCCCAGAGCTGGAGGTCGGAGGGCCGGCAGCTTTCAGGTGAGCAAGACCAGCTGCTTTTGCTCCTGGTTGAAGCCAAAGCTCCGGTTGTTTGGAGGTTCCCCATGTCCCTTCCTCTCAGAACGCACCCTGCTCTGATCCCAGGACACGTCGTGACTGCATCTCAGGCTCCAGCGGCTGGCATCCCATGCCCCTTGTCTCTGCTCAAGGCAAAGTCTGCCTTCCCCACCAGATGGAAATTACTCCTAGACTGTTACTAAACACACAGAGACAGAAGCTGGTGTGCGACCAGCTGCTCACCGCCTGCCCTCGGAAGGATGAGATGCAAGATAGACGCAGGGCAGACGCGCAGTAGAGCCAGCTGCACCCGCTCAGCCAGCAGCTACACAAGCTGACCCTCCCCACAAAGACCAGAAGCTCCCCGGATGCCCCTGGGCAGCCAGAGCCTCTGAAACCCTCCACCCAAGGGGCGGGCGCCGGGTCGCCTACGCCACACTCACTTCGCAAATATTGACCTCGCACACCTGCCCTGTGACTCAGCTCAGGAGGAGAGCTGGGAGCCTCAGGGGAGCAAGGGATTGGGCGGCAGGTGTCTGGTTAGATAAGGATGCTGACCTGGAGGCACCAGAAGTGTACCTGGGACGCCAGGCGCGCACGTCCCGGAAAGCCCTGAGCAGGTGCGACTGGGAGGGGGCAGAGACCAAGCCTGCAGGGGGAGGCTAGAAGGGCTCATGCGGGGTCCCAGCCCAGCAGAATGGGGCTCAGGAGTGTTCAAGGTGATGGGGACCAGGACTTGAATGCAGACTATGCAGAGTAACATGGGGAGCTGATGTGGGGCCCAGGGAAGCCGGGGGGTAAGGGAGGACGTGGGGAGCATGGGGGGACCCCCCAAGGGGCCGGGGTACCTTGCAGTCACAGCCGATCAACTTCCCGCACTCCTCACAGGTGCTGGCAAACAGGGCCTCGAAGCAGGCCACACAGTAGGGCTGCTCCTCCCGAAGCACATACTTCCTGCCAAAGAGCGAGTCCTCGCAGTGGTGGCAGTCAAAGCGCTCCGTCATCTCGGCCCCGGATGCCTGTCACCTGCCAGGGAGGAGAGAAGGACAGGTTCCAGTGAGCATGCACACGGCACGACTGTCCCCCTCCATCACGGTCACCTTGAGCATCACCTTCACCATCGGCGGCTCGTCTCCTGGGTGCGCAATCGACACTCACCCCTGACACGCCTTGTCATTTTCAACTTTAAAAAAAATTATCTGGGGGCAGTTCTGTGTCTGATGCATTCCGCTTCCCTAGAAGTCCTAGTTCTTGGTGACCGCGTCAGGAAAAGTGATCTTGATGTTGGACACAAGACAAGAGTTGGAGGCAGAGCCCTTGTCCCCCAGGAGATGCTTGCCCCAGACAGGATGGAACTGCACGTCGCATCTTCCCCATCTGCTGCCCCCAGAATAGCTCGGCAGGGACAGAAACAACATGCTCATTTCTATAAAAAGACTTTCCACGCGCTCCTCTATGATTCATGAATTTGAATAAGGAGAGACCACAGAAGCCAGGGGAGGGTCGTCGGAGCTGGAAACCCGAGGCCGAGGGAGCACTCCGGCCCCTCCCCGCCACCAGCCAGCGAGCAGGATGCAGGGAAAGGCTGGCTTCCAGGCACAGACAGGGATTATCACAGTAGGAAACTCAGAGACTGAAATCAACCGTCTCCCCAGGCGACACCTCGACTTGCATTTTTCCAGGATGAGTGTGGCCTGCGCGTGAGCAGAATGGACTGGGTGGGGATGGAGGGAGGCAGGACCTCCCCTCCTCCTCCTCCCCCAGTGTGGTTCCTGCACCAACATGTCAGAACCACCCCACAAAGAGCCCGTCTACCCTGGGAAGCCCAGGTGTGGAGAAACGCCTCCACGCCATTAGAGACACAGCCCAGCTTCTTCAGAAATAGCTTTCTCAGGTGGCAATATTTAATTGACGGAAAAGTGAAAAGCTTTATAAATGATTAAATCTGGAGACAGGTTGACTGCATAACTCACAGGGATGTTTCACAAACTGATGAAACTCAATTCGATTTTCGGTCATCTCCACCCACTGAAGAGTGAAATTCCAAAATGATACCCAAGGGTGCAAATAAAATATTGCTGGCTGGTTTATGGTAATGGTGAACTTCACCGTGTTTATTAATTTTGTACTTTGTGTATACAAGATTCTGACGACTGTAAGCAAAGAAATGGACAACTTTCAGGAGTCCATACTTGGTGACTTCTGTGTTTATAGGACAGTCTTTTTTCCCGAAAGTATTAAACTCGCAGCTGGACACATGTGGCGAGATCCATCCCTCTAAATTGCTCTTCCTGGAGTTAAAGAAAACATTGCCGGGATATTCTTGAGATAACATCACAAGATGAGGCTCTTGAGTGATCTTTGTTCTGAAACCCAGTGTATGAATATCACATCTGTCCTAAGGGCATCTCAGGTTTCAGCTGCTAAATTGGCAGAAGACGCCATGCTTTCCTGAAATCCCTGTTACTGGCCTTGAAAGTGGCCACCGTTCAGTTCTTTGCAATTAAGCACCATCTTTCCAACCTATGGATTTTTCCACAGAGGCCGCCATTTAACTGCAGAATCTTATTCCCTATGCGGGTCACACAAATTTAAGAATAATGACCTGAAGATTTGAAATAAGAACAAGGAAAGGAGATAGGGCTATAAAAAATAAATTTTTAAAATCTGGGAACCACCCAGGAGATTATCTGTTAACACAACTACCTTGTTTTATGGGCTTCCCTGGTGGCTCAGTGGTAAAGAATCCGCCTGCCAATGCAGGATACTGAGGGATTGATCCCTAAGTTGGTAAGATTCCCTGGAGAAGGAAATGGCAACCCACCGCTGTATTCTTGCCTGGGAAATCGCATGGACAGAGGAGCCTGCTGGGCTACAGTCCATTCGCTTGTAAAGAATTGGATATGAGTGAGCGACTAAACAACAACAATCTCATTTTATGGACGGAAAAAGGGGAAGCCAGGAACACTGATGGAAACAGAAGACTATATGAGCACTGGTTTCCAAACAGCCTTCTCACTTAGAACAAAACAGACTTCCAGTCTGCATGGAAAAGTGGTTCCACGTGGGTTTGGAAGAGCAGCGGCCCTTCTGGGGGAAGGAGACAGGCTGTACCAGTAACCCCCATCGGGAGCCATTCCCGTGCTCCATGAAAGGGGGCACTGTTTTCTCCAGGGTATTGCCCCAGCAATGCTCATATGCCTGGGATGTGCTTTCTGCCTCCTCTGACCCCACAGGACTGTGACAGAAGTCATCTAAGACAGTAAACCGTGAGCACACGCAGGGCTCCACGGCGGATGAAGAGGACCGAGGCGACCCCAGCACAGTGCCCCCGTCCTGATACTGACTTTCAGCAGGACGAGTGAGGTCCCCACCTGCCCTCCAGATCCGACGGCCCCCACTTCTGCAGATTGTTTCAGAGGCTGGTGGATCGCTCTCCTACCTCGCTCCTTATCTCCTCTAAGTCACAACAGCTTTATTGACCAGGACAGTGCTTGTGCTTAAACCAACAGGTTGGGGTGGAAAGTAAGACCACTGCTAATTAGAAGCAGAGCAGATGGACATGAATCTGAACCCATCTCCAGTGAGTTCCAAGAAGCACAAGTCCTGAGTCTCAGAACAAGCAGCATATGAGCTCCTAAGGAATCTAAGAGGCTCCCTTCTCCTATAGAGTTTGTAACCAGTTCTTTAATCTAATGCTACCAAACAGAAAATGACACAATTGTGTATCCAAAGTTACACTATCAATCTTAAACCTCTGCTTAATGGGAAAAATTTTAACTATAGTCTTGCATTAGATGTCTCCTATAACTCCACTTTTAAATCTTACAATATGCCCGATTTTTATTTATTTATTTGAATGGGGCTTCTCCTGGTGGCTCAGATGGTAAACAGTTTGCCTGCAATGCAGAAGACTCGGGTTTGACCCTTGGGTCAGGAAGATCCCCTGGAGATGGGAATGGCTACCCCCTCCAGTAATCTTGCCTGGAAAATCCCATGGACAGAGAAGCCTGGCAGGCTACAGTCCAATCTTTTTAAGCCTCTGTTTAATGGGAAAATTTTTAGCTACAGCCTTGCGTTAGACACCCCCTATAACTCCATTTTTAAATTTTATAAAATGACTTATTTTTATTTAATTAAAATTTTTTCTTTTTTTTTTAACTTAAAAAAACTTTTTTGGGGGGGGATGCACCACATGGCATGTGGGATCTTATTTCCCAAACTAGGCATCGAACCCATGCCCCCTACATTGGAAGTGCAGAGTCTTAACCAGCGGATCACCAGGGAAGTTCTAAAATGCTTGGTTATTCATTCATTCCAGAGGCATCAGCTGAGCTGGAACTGTGTGAGATGTTATCCAAAATGCTGCAGCTACAAAGATCAGTAAGATACGGGACCTCCCGGAGGGAATTTGTGGTCTAGTGAGAAATGGATGCATGGTGTGTATCAAACAGACTCAGTTCTACGCTCAACACCCTGAGGGAGAGACCTGACGGGTACCAGGGGAAGCAGGAGGAGCAGCCCCTGAGTCACCCCTCCTGGGAGGGTGGACAGGCTTCCTAAGATGTTACCTGTGCTGGCAAAGAGTTATCCAGGTGATGATGTAGGCAGAGAGCGGAGGCTTGGGAACGGGAATTGGGGTGGGGAGAGCAGACACCCCAGGAAGATGGGAGTGACTCGGGTCACTTCAAGAGCAGTCAAGATGAAGCTGAAGAGATAGCCAGAGGCCAAGGGAAGGAGGGCCTGAGGCCATGACCCTGAACAGACTGGCCCCACAGGCAGTTAGCTGTAGCATGTGAACTCCTCAGCCTGCAGTGAAAGAAGATTTACTGTGTGGAAGCCTGACTTCGCTCTGTGGGGCTGGGGGAGACAAACCCAACAGGCAGTGACTCTTTCAAAATGTTTTGGGGGTGTCCAAGGCCATTTCTGAATCATTTCCTCAAACAAAACCTGAATATCTTGTTTTGTTTTGTTTTTTACCTAATTGTGCACAACCTGCTTACCCCCGCCAAAACGCCACATCCCTCCCTGTGGGTTACCTGTTGCTCAGACCATCACCTGTGCCCAGATACTGACAGCGCAAAGCAGTAGCAGGCAAGGAGACCCTGGACCTCAGGATGACTGCCGACTTGTCGTTCACGAACTGAACCCAGATCCCAGCGTCCGGGAGTTCTTACACCTCCCCCAGGTTAAGTCATCGTCTGATGTCATCCCCCTTCGGCTCTGAACAAGAAGCCGATCATAGGGGACAGGTTTACAGATGTGGCTGCTGGCCCAGCCGACGGTGCTGGGTGTAGACAGTCCTGGGGCAGCTGGCAGGCCCTGGGTGGTAGGAGGGAGGGAGCTTTGATCTGAGTCTCTCCACCTGTGCTGACTCAGGTGTGAGGATGCAGGTTCAGAGAGTGCATAGGGCTCCCCACAGAAAATGATGACTCTACAAGGTCCACAGGCTTGTACATGTGAGCTATTTTTACCTTTTGAGATGTAAGAACCGTCAAAGTCGGGGATGGGAGGGGGAGTGTGAGAGCCAGAAGAGAAGAGAAATGAGAAGGGAGGGGAGAGGAAGTGGAGGAGGGAGGGAGGCATTCAGAGCCGGGAAGAACATGCCTCATTTTAAAAAACTTTTCATTTTGTATTGGGGTATAGCCGACCAACAATGTTGTGATAGTTTCCGGTGAACAGTGAAGAAACAGAAATATGATCCAAAAGGATACACACACCCCAGTGTTCACTGCAGCGCTATTTACAGCAACCAAGACATGGAAGCAACCTGAATATCCACTGACAGAAATGGATAAAGACGTGGTACATATATACAATGGAATATTACTCAGCCGTTAAAAAGAACGCAATCATGCCATCTGCAGCAACATGGATGGGCCTGGAGATTATCACACCGAGTGAAGTAAGTCAGACAGAGAAGTAGAAATATCGTATGACATACCTTATATGTGGAATCTAAAAAGAAATGACACAAATGAACTTACAAAACAAACAGACTCAGGGACTTAGAGAACAAACTTATGGTTGTGGGAGTGGGGAAGGATGTGGGGAAGGGATAGTCAGGGAGTTTGGGATGGACAAGCACACACTACTATACTTAAGATGGATAACCAACAAAGACCTACTATAGAGCACAGGGAATTCTGCTCAATGTTATGTGGCAGCCTGGATGGGAGAGGAGCTTGGGGAGAATGCATACATGTATATGTATGGCTGAGTCCCTTTGCTTTTTTTTCCCCAGAAACATTTCCTGGGAATCAGGAGAGGGGCAGAGTTCCAGGCGTCTGGCCAGTCCTTCCTGAACATCAGGCCTTCCATGTAGCTTTCTCTTCAGTGCTCCCCTTGCCAACTAAGCACCTCGGCCTGACTCCAGAGATGC